AGGATCCCCAGTAAGCTGTGTGACCCGCGTGCAACGCAGTCATCTGGATGAAGTTAAAGATGTAGGAAGCGGTGTGCTTGAAGTTAGATGTTGAAGTTACTGGCACCAAGGACTAGAATTGCTTAGGAGGAATAGGACGAAGGTGCTAAACTCAATCTCAGTTTCGATTTTCCAGCGTACTCAACACAGCATCTCGGCTCCCGATGCCCGCCGTACTTTCTCTCTAAGTGCTACCATATCACTTATCACTCTTTTTAAAAATTGTGACATAGTAGAACTTGCGATTCCTACGCTACGGTGGAGGGGGTCGAGATGCTGAAGAACTGTCATTTCCTGGTCAGCGAGGCGCTGGTGGAACTCAACTAAACCGACCGGGAGAAACAAACAACAGCGACTGTCTCGACCAGGAGCAGACGTAACAAACAAGCGCGGACGCCACACGGAGAGCCCAGACGAGGCCAAGACCAAACAAGTGCGGACGCCAACGAGAGAAACCAATAACAGCGGCTGTGTCGACGAGGAGCAGACGCAACAAAACAATCAAACCGCCACACGGAGAGCCCAGACAGCAGAGGCCAAGACCAAACAGAGCGGACCGCCACACGGAGAGCCTAGGCGCAAGACGCAGAGACCAAGAACACAGAGTTCGGACGCAAGACGCAGAGACCAGAGATGAAGTGGCCAGATGCAAGCTGCAGAGGCCAAGACCAAACAGTGCGACCGGCACACGGTGAGCCAAGAAACAAGATGCAGAGGCCACAGCAAAATGAAATCCCTCGCTTGGAGGAGGGAATGTCACGAGAAAAATGAAGACACACAACCCCGGAAACCGAAACCAGATGCACCAACAGCAAGATCCTTACCGACACTACGGATCACGACAAAATCGGCCCGAAAGTCAACCAAGGCAACCTCACCACCATCGGAGGCCCTCGCTTGGAGGAGGGAATGTCACGATATTATCAACTACAAACACATACAGCGCGAAAATGGGTAACGATCTGCCAACTTTGTGGAGATCAAGCTGCAGTAAGCTGTGTGACCCGCGTGCAACGCAGTCATCTGGATGAAGTTAAAGATGTAGGAAGCGATGTGCTTGAAGTTAGATGTTGAAGTTACAGGCACAAGGACTAGAATCGCTTAGGAGGAATAGGACGAAGGTGCTAAACTCAATCTCAGTTTCGATTTTCCAGCGTACTCAACACAGCATCTCGGCTCCCGATGCCCGCCGTACTTCCTCTCTAAGTGCTACCATATCACTTATCACTCTTTTTAAAAATTGTGACATAGTAGAACTTGCGATTCCTACGCTACGGTGGAGGGGGTCGAGATGCTGAAGAACTGTCATTTCCTGGTCAGCGAGGCGCTGGTGGAACTCAACTAAACCGACCGGGAGAAACAAACAACAGCGACTGTCTCGACCAGGAGCAGACGTAACAAACAAGCGCGGACGCCACACGGAGAGCCCAGACGAGGCCAAGACCAAACAAGTGCGGACGCCAACGAGAGAAACCAATAACAGCGGCTGTGTCGACGAGGAGCAGACGCAACAAAACAATCAAACCGCCACACGGAGAGCCCAGACAGCAGAGGCCAAGACCAAACAGAGCGGACCGCCACACGGAGAGCCTAGGCGCAAGACGCAGAGACCAAGAACACAGAGTTCGGACGCAAGACGCAGAGACCAGAGATGAAGTGGCCAGATGCAAGCTGCAGAGGCCAAGACCAAACAGTGCGACCGGCACACGGTGAGCCAAGAAACAAGATGCAGAGGCCACAGCAAAATGAAATCCCTCGCTTGGAGGAGGGAATGTCACGAGAAAAATGAAGACACACAACCCCGGAAACCGAAACCAGATGCACCAACAGCAAGATCCTTACCGACACTACGGATCACGACAAAATCGGCCCGAAAGTCAACCAAGGCAACCTCACCACCATCGGAGGCCCTCGCTTGGAGGAGGGAATGTCACGATATTATCAACTACAAACACATACAGCGCGAAAATGGGTAACGATCTGCCAACTTTGTGGAGATCAAGCTGCAGTAAGCTGTGTGACCCGCGTGCAACGCAGTCATCTGGATGAAGTTAAAGATGTAGGAAGCGGTGTGCTTGAAGTTAGATGTTGAAGTTACTGGCACCAAGGACTAGAATTGCTA